TTTCTGTCTCTATGACTTTGACTATTCTAGGTACCTCATATAAGTGGAATCATATAGAATTTGTCTTTTTGTGGATGGCTCATTTCACTTAGCATAATGTCCTCAAGGTTCATCCAAGTCGTAGCATATGTCAAAATTTCTTTCCTTTTTAAGGCTGAGTAATATTTCCTTGTATGTATATACTACATTTTGCTTATCCATTCATCCATTGATGGACACTTTGGTTACTTCCATGTTTTAGCTATTACACACACAGTTTTGCACCTTGCTTTTTATACTAACAATATATCTTGGATATTTTTCCATATCAGTACATAATGAGTCTCCTTTTTCTTTTTGACTTTTCTTCTTGTTTTGTTTTACAGATGCATAATATTTCAATGTTTGTAAAAACTGTAGTTTCTTGAACTGTCCCCTATAGCTGGGAATTTGGATTATTTCCAGTTTTTTTTTTTTTTTTTTTTTTGCTGTTACAAACAATACTGCAATGGAAATATATATAATTTTGCAGTTAGTTTTGATTCAAGATACACCAATGATCCCATTCCAGCTTTCAAAGCAGGGTTTGGCTCTGTGAGCAGATCTATGTGGACCTTTCCTAGGGGTTCATTCACTCTGCTCTTGGGCCTATCTGTTGTGATCATATCCTCCCTCCCCTTTACTTTGGTGTTACTTTTGCAAGGTACAGACTTGCAAGGTATAGCCCTGCTGTTCTCACATTCCTCCAGGGAAGAACTAACACTCAAAGGAGTAAGAAAAAGGCAAGCAATCTGGTGTCCCTTCAAACTGATATTTTAAAAAATATTTGTTGAATATATATTAAGCAAAGGGAAATAAACTGATTTATTCATAAAAATGTATACTTTTTTCTTTGTATTAAAAATAAGGGATTTATTACATGCATTGTATGTATCATTGTATTTTATACAATATGAATTTGTTTTTATTTCCCAGTTTTTCCATTATTGATATCATTACCCAGCAACACTCACTAAAGGTAGAGGTAACTTATAAGATATAGTTACAAAGTATTTTTCAAAACACGCTTAGTGATTTTCTACATTTCATGTAACCAGAATGTTTCACTTTTTCAGTAGCTTGTTCTTTTTTCAGTTTTCTTTTATAACATTCTTTTTTTGTTTTTTTTTTTTTACTTTTCCCCCCAAAGCCCCAGTAGATAGTTGTATGTCATAGCTGCACATCCTTCTAGTTGCTGTATGTGGGACACGGCCTCAGCATGGCCAGAGAAGCAGTGCATCGGCGCTCGTCCAGGATCCGAACCCGGGCCGCCAGCAGCGGAGTGCGTGCACTTAACTGCTAAGCCATGGGGCCGGCCCATCTTTTATAACATTCTGAACCAGACAATTTTAAAGGGTTAAAATTAGACAGTACTGTGCTATGCTTTACTCGTTAAAATCTTCAAAACCAATAGAATTTTCTCATGGGTATGATGTGGAGTATGTGTGTGTATATAGAGAGAGAGACAGAGAAATCAAGGATGAGTATAGAGTTTTTGGCATGAGCTGAAAGAATGAAGTTGCAATTATTGAGATGGGTAAAGAGTGTGGAAGGGGCAGCATTACGTATGGAAATCAGAAATCTGATGGAATATGTTAACTTTGAGATGCCTCTTAGACCTCCAAATTAAGATGATAAGAAGTCAGTTAGATATACAAATCTCGAGTTCAGGGACAAGTTCTAGGCAGAGTTAATATACATAAAGTGCTTAAAACAGTGCCTTGCAAATTCTTTTAAACAAGGCAGATCACGACACTCCTTTGTTCAAAACTTTCCAGTGACTTTTCATTTTATCCAGAGACAAAGGCAAAATCTTTACAGTGTGCCTACAAGACTCTCCATGATCTGCCTTCCCCCACCCGCAACATCTTCTACTTTCGTGATGTAGCAAATAAACCCACAGCACCAGTGGCTTACCACAATTGAAGACTATTTCTTGTTCACAAAACAAGTGTGGGTATTCTTGGTCAGCTGGAACCTATCCCCCATGTACTTGATTCAGAGATCCAGGCTCCTTCTGTCTTCTGTTTTGCTTTTCTTAGAAGTTCAGAATCATCTACTTCCAGCTGGAGGAAGGCAAAAAAGAGAGAGCGGAGAAGCCTCATTTGCTTCTTAAATACCCTGACCTAGCAGTGATACACACGAACTCCTGCACACATTTCATTGGTGAGAACCAGTCACATGGCCACATCTGGAGGCAAGTGGGGCTGGGAAATGTTGTTCCTGACCAGGCAGTGCTTCCAAGGGACAACTCCACACACTGTGGAAGGGGAAACATGATGTTTTTCTGAATTACAGGCCAGTTCCACCACACCTTCCACCATCTTCTGCCACTCCTCCCACCCCCAATGCTCTCCAGCCACCTCAGCCTTCTCACTGCTCCTTGAACACTCCAGACACACTTCTGCCTCACGCCCCGTCCTGGAGTCGTCTTCCCTCAGATGTTGACTTACTCTCTCTCATGTTCTTCATGCTGAAATGGGTGTCCCAGGTTGCCACTTGTTAAGACTATATTATGTTCCAGATATTTAAAATTCCTTTTTTCATTAATTTTTAAAAATTAATTTATGTAATTTCAAAGCAGTCTTGTCAAGGGTAGGAATGATTATTCTCATTCTAGAGAGGTTAACTGATGTGCTTCAGCTCACACAGCTAGTAAAAGTCGGGGTCGGGGAGCCAGTCCGGTGGCGTAGTGGTTAACTTGGTGCACTAGGCTTCAGCGGCCTGGGGTTCGCAGGTTCGAGTCTCAGGCACGGACATAACGTGCTGCTCATCAAGCCATATGTGACGGCGTCCCACAAATAAAGTAGAGGAGGATGGGCACAGATGTTAGCTCAGGGCTAAAAGAAAAAAAATGGGAGTGGGGATTTAAACTAAATCTTAAGAGCATCCAGCTCTGGTTTTAATCTGACTCTCGAAGAAGCAATCACTCTGCCAAACATATTTCCTACTGGGAAGGAGATCGCTTTACAGTTGAGTATTCCGGGCCTCCGAGCAGTTACATTTCCCAGGGAAAATTAAAACAGTCATGCTTTTGTTTCTAAACTGTGTTTTATGAGTTGAGTTAGTATGAGAGGTCTCCCAGCACCTGATCACCCTGGACACTTTGATTAAAAAGTTTCTGGAGTTTCAAACTGAGGATATGTAAGCCTTTCTCAAGTCTCTTTTTCACAGCACCCCCAGAGTGATTATTCTAAGATGTGGGTCAGATCTTGTCACTCCTCAGCTTAAATTCCTTTGATTTACCACCCCTCCAACACATATACTTTACGGGATAAATTCTTTAGCCTGGCATTTGAAGCCTTTCCTGCTCTGTCCCTCGCATCTTTCCCTGCTTTCATCCCCTTTTAATTCTCCATCTCCCATCAAAACGCATTACTTGCTGTTGCCTGAATGTACCATTTTTATCTGTCACTCTCTGTTGTTGTACATGCTGCCTGAAACATCTTCTTTCCCTCCCCTTTTCACCTGAGAAATTCCTTGTGATCCTTTGGAACTCAGGTCAGATTATATCTCCTTCTGGAAGCCTTCCCTGACCATCCCCCAACCTGGAGCGATGCCCCCGTTCTGTGCTTTGTAACTATTTAGCTCTCTGAGTCCCCTCTACTGCTCTATGTCCCCAGCATACAAGATAGGGTGGGGCTTCACCCTGAATGGGCTTTGTGAAGCTACCTCCTTCTCCCCACGTTTCTCCGCCAGTTCAGACAGGTTAAACACAAGGAGAAGCAGGTGCTATGGTTCCCAGTGACTTGGCTATGACCTCCAGGCCGCCCTCCCCAAGGGAACCAATACTTGAGAGAAGTACCCAGGGGAGAACCCAGGAGACAGCCCACGGTCAGCCCTTAGGGAAGCCAGCTGCCTTATAAGGCCCTTAGTAACAGCCTGCCAAGCAAACCTTGAACACACCTCTGGCTGGAATAATAATAATAATCTCTAATATTTATTGAGTGCCTTCTATGTTCCGGGCACTATTCTGACCACTTTACCTGTATGTGTATTTATCTTATGTAATTTTCACAAAAGTCATGACTGCTGGCACCTAGGGATTGCCCAAGGTCACACAAGTAAATGATAAAGTCAGGATTCAAATCTGAGCATTCTGTTTCTAGAACCCATGCTAGTAACTCTATACATATTGTCTTCTTGGCTTCTAATCTCCAGTTTTCTGCCTAGCTTCTGTGGGAAACCAAATCGGAGGGTCCCAACACCCTGGGAGTACTGGGAAGCAAGTTTCTCTCCTCACCCCTCGCTTCTCTCAGGAGGACCGGCTCCGAGATGGATCTGAGAATTCTCAGAAGCAGAAGGGGTGCTCCCAAGTGGCAAGGGCCTCTGGACGCTCCAAGAGAGGAAGGCGGACAGCCTGGTGCGTGGGAAAAGGCTTGGCTGGGGTGGCGGTGAGGAGGCAGGGAGCTGACCACGAGCCCAGGATTCTAGTCCAGGCTTTGTCTCTTAGGCTCTATATAACCTTGCGGGAAGTCCTTGCTTCCTTATGAGCCTTAGTTTCCCTATTTGTAAAACAAGGGTAAATACAGGACGGGCTGATCCACCTCCGCCAAAAGAGGGGGCACCCTCAGCTTTATTGGGTAAAGGGCCCGGCGCGGAGGCCAGGAAGCGGAGGCGGGGAGAAGGCGCTCTCTGGGGCCGAGGCTGACAGCCTGGAGATAGGATGAGGTGGCCTTCCGAGCTCAGTCCTGCGACCCTATCCCGTGCCAGGGTAGGGCTAAGGAGATCCTCTCCAGACCTCCAGTGGGAGGCGGAGGCGGAGTATGAGCCAGTGTGGCGGCTCTGGGGGATGCGCCACTCATCCCGTACCTCCTTGGCCCTCCCAAAAGGAGTCGCAGCCCCGAGCGGGTGGCGGTTGCGGGCGACCAGGCAGTCCCCGGCCGCGCTGCAGAGACCCCCTGGGAAGCGGCGGCCCGCCGGGCCCGAAGAGCATCACGTCATCCTTTCCGCCAGGCGCCCGCCCCCTCTCCGACGGCGCCTGCGCAGGCGCGGCGGGAGGGGGCCGCGGGGGGGCTCTCCCCAGCGCTCTCCGCCCTTCTCCAGACTCTCTCCGGCCGCGGTGCTCTCGGTTGGCGGCGGCGGTGCGGAGGGGAAGGCGTCCAGGATGCGGCGCGGGGCGGCCCGGTGCCCCCCTGCCCCGTCACGGCAGCCGCGGCGGCCGCGGGGACCGGGCCAGGGCCGGGGGCGGCCCCGGCGCCATGAGCGGCGGCGGCGGAGGGGGCTCGGCGCCCAGTCGCTTCGCCGACTACTTTGTCATCTGCGGGCTGGACACCGAGACCGGGCTGGAGCCGGACGAGCTGTCGGGTGAGTGCGCGCGGCGCCCGGGGCCGCTTCCCCGCGCCCGCCGCGGCCGGGGACCCCCGGGGAAACCTCCCCCACCCCGCTTTGTCCCGGGAGCCGGGCGCCGGTCGGTCGGAAGGACCCAGGGCGCGCGCGGGGGAAGGGGGCGTGGGGCTGGAGCGGGGGGAACGGGATGAGGGGCTCTTAGCCGTGAGGGGTCCGAAAGGCCCCTGCGCCTCTCTGCGCTGTGGTCCCGTCCCCCGGGACGAGGAAGAGGGGAGGGTTGTGTGTCCTCAGTCTGGTGAAGGTTGAGTGACTTAGTATAAAATAAAGGGAAGTCTGTCCTCGAACACCCGTTAGGGAGGGAAGAAGGCATCCCACGTCTTAGTGCAAGTAAGTTCCACCCAGACTTAAAAAAAAAAAAAAAACAAAGCCCAACAGAAACTTGGTTAGTTTATCTGGCCCCTTCCCAAGAAGCTTGTGATAACAACAGTTCCTCAAAACCGTTCTAGCCCAGCCCTGGGCTGGGCCCCCTGGGTTGATGGGACGTTAAGTAATAAAGTGAACTTGGGCCACACCAAGCAGGGTGAGAACTCCCTTAGTTCCCGAAAGGGCTTGCACCCCCGGGCCATGCCTTTCTTATGAAAGTAATATATGTCCTTTATGGGGCCAGCGTCATTTGTGAATAAAAGGGCAGCAGCCTGGTTGGAGAGCCTGGGCTGCATAGTGATGCTGCTCAAGTCATCTTTCAAAGGGGAATGGTGGGGAAGTGAAGATGGGGCCCAGATCAGATTTGGCACTAATTGCAGTAGAGTGTCGGAATTGTAAAATCCCCCTGAATTCCCCTGCGCCTCATTGGAGCCTTTGAATTGCAACAGTTTTGAGAAAGTTTTTGTCTGGAGTGTCCAGGTTGCAGGTTTCATGTGGTTGGAGGTTTGTTGTGTCATCCTTATTTGATGACACTCCTTTCGAGTGTTCTGTCGTGGTGTGGTCACTGTAAAGTTTCTCTCCTGAAAGTGATAATCCTGTTGACTGATTTTGCTTTGCTTCAGAAATGACAGGAGAGATTTTTGTTTGTCACTAGAAAAATTCCAATGTTTCTTATGAAAAAAAATTAGGTGCCTACTTAAATGACAAAAATGGATTGTCTTTTTAAAAAGTGATACATTGGTGACCTTTAACAAGGTCAGAACAAATACACTATTCCCTCAAATTAATAGCAGGTGGAGAAAAAATCACGAAGCAGTAATACAATTTAATACTAGGGCTTTTGTTGGGGTAGCTTTATTGTTTCAAGTTCACTTTTTTAGGTCTTCAAATTTTTGTAATACAGATGTTGATTTTTCATGTTTGATATTTATTAAATTGGTGCCTTGGTGATGTAGTTGTTGGAATTCAGTTCACGATGTTAGAGCTGGTAGGGATCTCAGAGAGGAAAATGAGGCCCAGGAAGGACAGTAGGGCCTCCGTCCTGCTAGTTAATTGCCTGACTTTGGTCCACTGCTCCTCTCATAACACTAAACTGCATCTCATTGCCTGGCTGGGTCTTTAGAGAACACTAACATGTTGAGAAAGACTAAAAATAACACAGTTCTCCCCAGTAAAAAAGCTTTAAGATGGTGGAATAAACCAGTGTTATTTTTATGCTGTGCTTTTCAGTGTCTATTAAATTATACAGATGTTTGTTTTTTGAAAATAAAGAGAACGGTTTGCAAATGATAAAGCATAGGAATGAAGGTGGGAAGTGATTTGTTAGTGAGAGCGTGGGTTTTAGGGTTAAACATTCCCGCTCTGCTATTGACTATCTCTATGACTGGGGGCAAGTTAGATAACTCTGCTGGGGTCCTCATCTATAAAAAAGAGAATGTAAATAAAAAGTATCTCATCAAGTAGACCCTCAAAAATGTTAATTCTCTTTTAGTGAATGTTAATTATCTGGCTTTTCAGCAAGCTAAAATTATATCTCTGTGAAAGCTTCTTGAGAGAATAAAGAAATGGGGATGAGTTGTATAAAATGTATAAAGAAGGATATTTTTCTGTCTTTTTAAATGTGGTTGCAATAGTGGAATGCCAAGACCATTAATTCAATAGGTGGCCTTTGTAAGAATAGGCACTGATTGAAGCATTTCTTTTTTTCCTTCATTTCATTTCTGGTGGGTTGATAGGGGAATCGGGACTAGCCAGAGAGAGTCTTTGAATAAAACAAAACAGAATACAGATAACTCTAGTCGGGTCAGTCTTGAGACTCTCCAGGGTGCATTTTCTCTCTTCAGCCTGCCTTATAGCTCCCAAACTGATGATGTCATAGTGAGTGAAACTGCAGGAAACTGTGAATTGCACCCAGGTTCTCTAGGGAGGTGCTGAGGAGTCTTTGTTCTCTCCAAGCAAATTAAGTTATATACCTCAGGTAACTTCTATACTCTTAAAAAGTGAATCCTGAACAAGCAAATCAAAGATGCTTAGTGTTCCTTCTGGTTTTTTGGAGAAAGATTATGATTCATTCTTTTCTGTTTGCAACAATAAGCATAGAGCATGCTGTGTTGAATATCGACTCAAATCATTGGATTTTATAGGAATCTCTCCCTGTCACCTCTTCCCCTTTCTTGCAGACTTAAGCATTTAGGCAAGTCATGTAGTTATTTGTTGTGCAAGGAACTGAGGAAGATGTGAAAATTAATTTAGTTTTCTTTTCTGGTTAGTTGAGGAAGCACTTTGGGTTGGAAGGGGAGGAAGGTAACCTATGGGTGAAGCACAAGTCTAGCCAACTTTTAGGAAAGGGTATCTGTTTGTTAGCTTTTTGAGCTTGTTAAATAGATCAGCAAATCTGGAAGAATTGCTTTTGATTTACATTTTCCATTATTGTTGGCCCATCGTAAGCGGGGAGGCAGATGGTAGTAGAGTCCATTCCCTCTTTCTACCTCTTTGATAGGAGGGTGTCCTGGGCATCTTCATTTTCCCTTTTTCTTCTTATGGGCACCACGAGGTGACTGCAGAAGAAGGTTACCATGAGGTGGGATTCCTGAGTTTACTTTCCCTATCTCTGCCTGAGAGTTAAGTTTCCTGAATGCTTGTGACCTATTTCTTGCCTTGAAATCTTTAAGTTCCTCTGCACTGACTCATACCCAGTATTGAGATGTAAGTATCCTAGGTTGGTGCATCCAGTACTCCAGTTTTCCCAAGCAGAGGGCCTTGCTAAGAATTGAAGGGAAGGGGTTGGGACGTAGATAGATGGGAGATTGCCCAATGTCCCGTGTGAGCTTACTTAGAACACTGAGAATACACTGAAATCATCCCTTAATGTCACCATTAGAAGAGAGAAATGCTCACTGTCCAGGAAAACCAGAGGACTGGTCAGATGATACTTCTCCTTAACCATATTGAGTAATGAAGTTAGAACATCAGAATCATGGAATGTAAAACAAGGACGCACTCTTAGAGGTTTTATAACCTTCTGATTTTATAAATGAGAAAACTGAGGCCCCGGGAAAGTTGGAGAATATTTGTCTCCCTTGCCGCATTTCATTCTCCTTTTCTGCTACTTGAGTGATGCTTTGCATGCTTTACAGTAATCTGATGATTAGGGGGGACAAGTAAAATATCTGGTAGGGGCAGGAGCCGACATCATGGCAGTTTTTTCTAGTGCAAGTTTCTGTTTCATGTTAAGCAAGAATACTGTATGTGATTATCAGGAGGGATATCTTATTTTTTTAGTGTTCTCTTTTGATATAACTTCACACCAAACAATGACATGAATAGTACAAAGAACTTTAGTACATCCTTTTTCCAGATTCACTGATTGTTAACATTTTGTGCCGTTTGCCTTATCACTTATATGTATGTGTTTTTTTCTCTTTCTAATATATATAAACAACTTTATTGAGATATAATTCACATACCATATAATTCACCTATTTAAAGTGTACAATTAGGTCAGTGGTTTTTAGTATATTCACAGAGTTGTGCAATCATCACTACAATCAATTTTAGAATATATTCATCACTCTTCTCCCAAACCCATACTCATTAGCAGTCACTCCCCATTTCCTTCCAACTGCCTAAACCCGAGCCCTAGGCAACCGCTAATCTACTTTTGATCTCTATAGATTTGCCTATCCTGGACATTTCATATAAATAGAGTTATATAATATGGAGTCTTCTGTGATTGGCTTCTTTCACTTAGCATGTTTTCAAGGTTCATCCATGTTGTCGTATATATCAGTACATCATTTCTTTTAATGGCTGAATAATATTCCATTGTATGAATATACCACGTTTTACTTATCTGTAAGTTGATGGACATTTGGGTTTTGATTATTATTCATAATGCTGCTGTGAACATTTGTGTACAAGTTTTTGTGTGGACATATGTTTTCGTTTCTCTTGGGTATGTACCTAAGAGTGGAATTGCTGGGTCATATGGCAACTCCATGTTTAACCTTTTGAGAAATTGCCAGACTGTTTTCCAAAACAGCTGCACGGTTTACATTCCCCCTAGCAGTGTATGAAGGTTCTACTTTCTTCATATCCTCACCAACACTTATCATCTGTTTTTTTGATTATAGGCATCCTAGTGGGTGTGAAGTGGTATCTCATTGTGGTTTCGATTTGCATATCCCTGATGGCTAAGAAAGATATCTTATTTAAAAGAAAAGAAGACTGTCTCTTCCCAGAGATAAAGTGGGTATAAAAAGTTTGATGAGCCAGTTTGAAACAGGAAGTCAGTATGAGCTAAACTTATTTTTTATTTTCTTCTACCAATCTGGTCAGTTCTATGCAGATTCTCTCGTGGTCATTTTATAAAGGCATCTCTGCTCTGAAGCCCAGACTCCTAGCTGAAGCAAAACTCAAATCCTCATAGCTTACCTCAGGCATCTGTGGATACTTCCAGAGGTCCAGGTTGCTATAGGATGGGGAGATTTCCTAAGTTAGGTCATATGTTTCCTTTTATAAGGTAGAGCGAAAAAGAGTCAGGAGAAGAGACATGCACAGAAAACAATTACAGAGCAGGCCCAAGGCAGTTTAAC